CATAAACTGGGAACTTTTACAAACCAAGTTTGTAAAACGTTTGTTGGTATATATCTTAATGAAAATGCACACCGAATTGCTTAGATTGATGAGGAAACCCGACTTAGCCATACCGGATTAACTTGCTTTGTGTGCACAGGGAAATTCCAGCATAACTTAATTAATCACCAAACCTACTTGATCAAATTAAGAGTTAATGATTAAAAATTAATTTTTTAATCGCGGCTACGATTAACTGTTTAGGCAGATTAAAATTAATCATGATTAACTGTAATCAGATTGAATTTAATCGAATTAACTAACTGATTAAAACATCAATCGATTAATGCCAACATTGATTTCACATACATATCACTATACCAAGTTTCAGTTCTCCCCCACAAATACTTCCAGAGATATGTATGTAATATGAAAATTTCAATTTGTATGGGAGGGGCCTGAGTTATGGGACTTACTTTTAGTCTAAGACCATCCTTCCGAAATCCGTAGTAAGTGTACCAACTTTCGTTCTGATCGGGAAACTGGTTAAGGAAGTAGCCTATTTTTCAATCCAGGTCATAAACCATCTGTGAGCAAAATTTAGTTTTCAAACAGGTGGCAATTCTTAAAAAAGTAGCCTATTTCCTAATCTAGGCCATAAGCTATCTGTGTGCAAACTTTCATGCAAATCAGTTCAGTCATTTACGCGTATTAATTTAATTAATCTTTTCTATTAAGTGACAACTCTTAACTTAGTAGCCTATTTTCCAACATAGGTCATAAGCAATCTCTGTGCGAAATTTCATGCAAATCTGTTCAGTCGTTTCCGTGTATTAATTTAATTAATCTTTTCTATTAAGTGACAACTCTTAACTTAGTAGCCTATTTTCCAACATAGGTCATAAGCAATCTCTGTGCGAAATTTCATGCAAATCTGTTCAGTCGTTTCCGTGTATTAATTTAATTAATTTTTTTTAACACATGGCAACTCTTCATAAGCTATCTGCTTGCAAAATTTCATGCAAATCCGATCAGACTTCGCCGCGTATTAATCTAATTAAACTTTTTTAGCAGGTGGCAACTCTTAAAAAAAGTAGCCTATTTCCCAATCTAGGTCATAAGCTATCTGTGTGAAAACTTCCATGCAATTCAGTTCACTCCATTTCGCTTATTAATTAAATTCAACATTTCTAACAGGGGGCAACTCTTAGCCTACTTTCCAATCTAGGTCATAAGATATCTGTGTGCAAAATTTCATGCAAATCCGTTCAGTCGTTTCCGCGTATTAATTTAATTAAACTTTTTTAACAGGTGGCAACTCTTAAGAAAAGTAACCTATTTTCCAATCTAAGTCATAAGCTATCTGTGTGCAAATTTTCATGCAAATCCATTCCGACGTTCCCGCATATTAAATAAATTAAACTTTTTTAACAGGTGGCAACTCTTCCAAAGAATTAGCTTATTTTCCACCGTAGATCATAAGCTATCTGCTTGCAAAATTTCATGCAAATCTATTCAGTCGTTTCCGCGTATTAATTTAATTAAACTTTTTTAACAGGTGGCAACTCTTCCAAAGAATTAGCTTATTTTCCACCGTAGATCATAAGCTATCTGCTTGCAAAATTTCATGCAAATCTATTCAGTCGTTTCCGCGTATTAATTTAATTAAACTTTTTTAGCAGGTGGCAACTCTTAAGAAAAGTAGCCGATTTTCCGATCTAAGTTATAAGCTATCTGTGTGCAAATTTTCATGCATATTAAATAAATTAAGCTTTTTTAACAGGTGGCAACTCTTAAAATATTAGCCTATTAACCAATCTAGCCGAGAACCTACTTGCGTACAAAATTTGATGTAAATCCGTTCAGTCGTTTCCGCGTGATGATTTCCCAAACATCCAAACATACAAACTTTCACATTTATAATATTAGTAAGATAAGATAAGATTAAATTATTTTACATATTTGCATAAAAACGTGGGGTGAAACCAGCGGGTATAAGCTAGTAAAAAATAAATGTGTTTATGTCGTGTGCTATTTGTTAAAATGAAAGTGGCAATGAATTGTAAATTAAAACCGTAAAGCACACTTTATATGAAAATTAAAACAATTGTTAGAATAAATAATAAATAAAAAAGAAAGAATAATAAATAAATAAAACATATGCTATATAAAAATGCAACTGGTAATTAATTTATTATATTTTCCTTTGAGTGCTGCTATTTTACGTTTTCAATACATTAGGTACCTACATGCGTTTTATGTTTTCAGTACATTAGGCACATTTGTTTTATGTTTTAAAACATAAGGGGTATTCTCGAAGTCTTGCACGATGCACGGATTGCACGAAATGCAAAAATACTATTCCAAATTTCGAAGAGTACGAGAACACCCCATTGCAAAGTGGTAGCATGCATGGGGAGCAAGCAGCGAAATTATGTATCAAATACAATAACAAGAGACAGCAAAAAAAAATTAAGTGAGCGAGATGAGAGGAATGAGAGAAATATGTAGCAATTCCAACAACAAAACAACTAGCACAGGGTCGCTATTATCTTGCTATGCTATTTTGCAAAATATATACATGGGTTTCGACGTTGCATATTTTGCAGCGATAGGAAATGTTGTTTCCCATGAATTTTCTTGTTGTGTGTTTGCAATTTATGCAATCCGTGCAATCCGTGCTACGTGCAATGGCTTTGCAAGATTTGGAGAATACCCCTATAGTGTTTAACATTAGAAATATTTAAAATTATATTGTAGGAATATGAATTATTATATCATTATGTACATTCGTTTTGCGTTTTCAGTACATTAGGCACATTCGTTTTATGTTTTAAAAACATAGTAGGGGTATTCTCCAAATCTTGCAAAGCCATTGCACGTAGCACGGATTGCACGGATTGCATAAATTGCAAACACACAACAAGAAAATTCATGGGAAACAACATTTCCTATCGCTGCAAAATATGCAACGTCGAAACCCATGTATATATTTTGCAAAATAGCATAGCAAGATAATAGCGACCCTGTGCTAGTTGTTTTGTTGTTGGAATTGCTACATATTTCTCTCATTCCTCTCATCTCGCTCACTTAATTTTTTTTTGCTGTCTCTTGTTATTGTATTTGATACATAATTTCGCTGCTTGCTCCCCATGCATGCTACCTCTTTGCAATGGGGTGTTCTCGTACTCTTCGAAATTTGGAATAGTATTTTTGCATTTCGTGCAATCCGTGCATCGTGCAAGACTTCGAGAATACCCCTAGTGTTTAACATTAGAAATCATTGTTGCCTAAATTGTAATTTAGAAGACGATTTGAAATACCTTACTGGCTTTAAGGCTCTCCCGCTTTTCGCTTACAAGCTGGCCAGCGTGCGAAAATATGCGCTCACAAGGAACAGATGTAGAAGAAATACATAAACATTTTTTAGCAAGTTGGAACAACCGAGGGTAAATGTTTTTCCGTTGATGCCACCACACCAGTGGATCATTCGGCTTTCCAGAATGGTCTTTTCGCGGAAGAACAGGTTCAGCTAAATATTTGTCCACCTCAATAATAGCACTTGCTGTTTGATTTGCTGGCCTTACGTATTTCTGGACTTCAGCGTCAAAGTCTTTCGGTGTCGTAGTAGTCGGTGTTTTGAACAACCATATTAGCAACACTTAAATATAATTTGTCGACATTGGAATTATATGCTGTTTCAGTTATGAATCCAAATTTTTTAAATCTTGGATCCAGAACTGTGGCTTGCGCTATTAGTTCGTTAAATTCTAAGTCTTTAAACCTATTGTTAAGTTCGTTTAACAGTTTTGCAACCAAATTGTTTACATCGGGGCTTAGTTGCGAGGTATTGAAGGTTTTTAAATGTTTGCTTAATTGCTTAATGTACAGGATTACACAAGATGCACTTATGTGCTTTTCGACACTAATTAATGTCGTAACAACTTCAAACATTTCTAAAACTTTCATTGATTGCTCTGCTACCAACCACTCTTCGTTACTTAAAAAAATAATTGTTTGTAATACGTCATCTCTGGCCAGCATCGACGACTTAACTAAAGCTAAAGTGGAAATCACTGCATCTTTTAAAACTAATACGCGCTTCAACATTTCATATGTTGAGTTCCAACGAGTAGGTACGTCATTAATAAGTTTCTAAACTAGTTGCTGCATAGCCTGCAATGTTGCTTTAAGTTTTGAACACGCGTAAGTGCTTTTTGAAAAAAACCTAACAATTACTTTTATTTTATGCAAAACTATTCTATTTCTTTTAAACCACATTGCGCCACTAAATTTAAGGAGTGTGCAATGCAGCACCAATGCCGCCAACCTCCCCCACGAACTGCTGCTTTCATATTAGCTGCATTATCACTAACTATAACACTTATCTTGTTACTAACTCCCCATTCGCAAAAAATTTCGTATATTTTTTTTGTAATATTTTCACTTGTGTGCCTATCTAAATATGAGGAGCAATCTAACAAATCCGACGCAAGGAATGTTTTTTTATCCTCTTCCACAATGTAGTGGACAGTCACACTAAAGAAGCTATCTCCTGCACGGGAAGTCCACCCGTCCATCGTCACACATATAGCATACGCCCTCTCTAACCGCCTTTTCATCACCTCCATGATTACATTATACATGGCCGGTATTAACGTGGAGGACACTGTTTTCCTAGTTGGGAGTTTATAGTTCGGATTTAGGAGACACACCAGCTTCTTAAATTCCACGTCTTCGACGATGCTAAATGGATGGTACTCGCGGACAATCATTTTAATTACCTGGTCATCGACTTGTTGCTGCTTTTTGACTGGAAGTGGCTTGTGTAGGTACTGTGATACCGATCCTTGAGGTGCGTATGATGCTCGCGGTATATTTCGCTGTGGTGCTTCTACCTGCATTGCTGCTGCCTGCGTGTCAACTTCTGTTTCCAAATGCTGCTGCCTAGCAATTTTTTGGAAGGGATGCCGCCTATTCATATGGCGAATCAGGCTGCACACTGATTTGTTTGCCACGGATATCTGCTGACCACATAGATTACATTTTACTTTTTTGTCTTTCTCATCGGAGAAGTGCAGCCATAATTCGCTCTTTTTATTTGGCATGATGAAAATGCAGTGAAACGCTCGTGGAGCTCACAGCGACGCTTGGATGAATAAGCTCCTGTTGATAAGGACACGATTATAATTTTGTTTGGAAAAAATTTTATGACATTTAGCAACTTACTTGTAAAATGTGCAGGAATACGCAAAATTAGTGATTAGTAGATGAAAATGCAGTGAAACGCTCGTGGAACTCACAGCGACTCTTGGATGAATAAGCTCCTGTCGATAAGGACACGATTATAATTTTGTTTGGAAAAAATTTTATGACATTTAGCAACTTACTTGTAAAATGTGCAGGAATACGCAAAATTAGTGATTAGTAGATGAAAATGCAGTGAAACGCTCGTGGAACTCACAGCGACGCTTGGATGAATAAGCTCCTGTCGATAAGGACACGATTATAATTTTGTTTGGAAAATATGTTAAGACATTAAGCAACTTACTTGTAAAATGTCCAGGAATAAGCAAGATGAAAATGTGCCAATTTGCCAGTAAATGTCCGCCAAAATTATAGTCAAGGCGCGTCTATATAAAGTTGTGGAAAATATCCAATCAGCTGTTCTAGTAACACCACCTTGTATTCTATCATTCTTGCAGTCGTATGAATCGGCAAAGCAACTCTGAGAAAACCACTGCGTTAAGCTGCCTGAAGAGGCGAAATCGGCGCAATAGTGTCAACACACTGCTCTGATTCCGGCAGCGGCAGTGTTAGTGTATCAGCGCCAAAAAATTTGCGCCGTTACCCTGGCCTAGTAAATGGTGCCAACGCGAAAAATCGATGGAAGTCGGAGACGTGGTCCTCGTTTGCGATGAAAACGAAAGGCGCGGAGAATAGAAGCGAGGCGTCGTCATTGAAGCATTCAAAGCCCCAGATGGACAAGTCCGTTCAGCAATAGTGAAGACAGCCTCTGGAACCCTACGGCGACCAGCGTCAAAACTAGCATTGTTAGACGTAATTAGTGAATCTCCGGCAGCCCGTTCGATTCACGTGGCTCGGGATGTTGCATAATAGAATAATTGCCAGATTTCTTTACTATTATAAATTTGAATTTATAATAGTATAAAGTATAAAGTTTTAACTTTAACCGGATAATTTCTAACATACGGTATCTCTGAACGTAAATTGTTTCGATAAGCTAGATATCGAACAAAGCTTCGTCAAAATGGTGAACTTAACTTCCCTTTTGAAGTAGCGTTCGGACGAAGCACACGAAAAAGTAAGAACAATTTCCTGTAAATACAAATTTATTGTTATGCCTAATTTTTCAGATATTAAAACTTCGTACTAGCATCATTTGCTTGTACGCATGTTCAAATATGTGTGTTTTATTCCGAGTGCATCAACCCATACATCTATGAGCATCCGCTGCCGTAACACGGGTCATATTTTTTCAGAAATATTTAGTAAAAATGTTTGCATAGAGCCTTCTGAGTCCGGAATGTCCTCCACTTATAGGGTCGTTATGGTAGATGCTGTTTCGACAGGATCTGTTAATATAATATGTCATGTCTTTAAAATTTTATTTCCGCGATTTGTTAAGCTAGCAATTGTGAAATGACGGAAAAATTCATCGTCTTTTGGCCATTCAATATTCTTAAATTTGCTTTTGCTGGCTTCAATTTCAAGCCTCGAAAGTAAATCATCGAAATTCATTATTTCGTTAGCAAAGACATAATTAAGTAACTCGAGTTTTTTATGTTTAATATGTGCACAAATTCATAAATTTTTAATTTTATCATCTTTATCATAAGTAAGTAATTTCCGATCTAATACGCGGTATCTTTTTTGAAAAGTTGTAAGAAAATTTATCATAGACGTTTAATGTCTCATGTTTTTCATCTTCGTTATTAGCTGTATTTTGTATCATTTTGTAATTTTTTCGGCTAGTCATTGATCTCGTCTGTACTGCCAAAATACTTTTCGTTGATTCCCTTATTTCGTCTATCGTTATACATGAGAGCGCGTCTGCGCCAACATTTAATTTCCCTTTAATATACTCAATAGTAAAATTGTATTCTGCTAGTTCTAACCTTATGCTTGAAAGTTTTGAAGAGGGGTCTTTCATATTGAATAGGTATACTAATGATCTGTGATATGATTTTACAAAAAAATTCGTTCCATAAATGTATGGTCGAAATTGTTTAATGTCAAAGTAGATTGCTAAAAGTTCTAATTCAATTATTGGTTTTTTTTCTGTTCTACATTGTTAAATGCCTTTGAAGCGAAACATATTGGCAAATCATATCCACCCTGGTTTTGGCTTAATATAGCACCGCACCCACTTTCGAGGCATCGTCCGTAATAATAAATTGTTTAGTGAAGTCTGGGTATTGTAGCAATTTTGGCGAAATTAACGCTGCTTTTAAAGATTCAAAAGCTATGTCGCACACACTGTCCCAATAAAGTTTAACTTTTTTCCTGCTAAATTTATTTAAAAGCACTGCCAGAGACGCAAAATTTGGTATGAACCGCCTATAATAATTAGTAAACGCTAGGGAACGTAGAGCCGGATCCTCATCACTTGGTTTTGTATATTTTTTAACAGCGTTTATTTTGGAGTCGTCTGGCAACAGACCTTTGGCTGAACATTTATGGCCCAGGAATATAACTTCCGGCCGAAGAAAGTTGCATTTATTTGGGTAAAGTTTTAGGTTGAAGTTTCGACAAGTGTCGAAAACTTTTGCTAAGTTGTTAATGTGATGTGCTTTACTGCAGCCTATAACAATAATGTCATCTACATATAAAAATGCTACGTTGGGTGGAATACAGTATATTTTGCTTAGCTGCCCATCCTTCTTTGCACAAAAAACTCGTGCGCTTAACCGAAAAGCACTTAAGCGAATTTTCTTTACTACTTCAATGAGGAAGGTATCCGAGTCCCTATGAAACCAAATAATGGAGGAGCACTTACCACGTAGAAATTACTGCAAGCGAAAGTTTTTTCGAATGCCATCCAATTATCTATATAACTACATAAAATTATAGCCGTTTTCGTTGTTCTGCGAGATGAGCAAAATAAATAAAAGCTTGTAAAATTAGTGTAAGTGTAGAGCCAGTTCAGGTAAACGTAATATTTTCTTTGATAATTGATAATAGTTGAAAATTTTTAAGGCAGGTAATGCTAAGGCTAATGTACACGTATGTTGAATGCATGTATCGGAGCAGTTTCCTTATATATGTTAAGAATAATGCCGCTGATGGGCATTTAAATGTGCACTTAAGCACAAAGGCAGCAAAGCAAAATACACTGTACCAGAAAAAGCTATACTCATCATTCGCGAGAATGAGTTGGGTGCTATACTTAAACCGAATGGCAATACTTTCCATCGAGATGCTCCACGGTCTGTGCTAAAAGAAGTTACATCACGTGAATCCTCATGTAAGGGGATTTGGTGAAATCCAGTAAAAAGATCCAAAGTAGAAAAATATTTAGCGATAATTGTCCGTATAATTGTTCTTTATGACATGTAAACATGCAATTTTCCCATGCGCATTTTAAATGTGCACTTAAGCACAAAGGCAGCAAAGCAAAATATACTGTACCAGAAAAAGCTATACTCCTCATTCGCGAGAATGAGTTGGGTGCTATACTTAAACCGAATGGCAATACTTTCCATCGAGATGCTCCACGGTCTGTGCTAAAAGAAGTTATATCACGTGAATCCTCATCTAAGGGGTGAAATCCAGTAAAAAGATCTAAAGTAGAAAAATATTTAGCTATAATTGTCCGTACAATTGTTGTTTATGACATGTAAAGATGCAATTTTCCCAGCTACAACTTTTGAGTTCTCTGGCTTTATTCTGTTTCTCAAAGCATCTTTGATTTGTAGAACCGAATTAACCTCGGTTGGAATTGCTTCACGTGCCTTGCCTTCGAGCTTCGATTGCAAAAATGATATAAAAATTGTATTTAAATTTTCGTCTGCGAAATCTTCAATTAAATAAATTTTATCAATAAACGATTCAAGTACTAGCGGATCGCCGTTGTAATTTTCCCTAATGATTGAGGCACAAAGACTAATAAAGGATTTCTTCTGTTCAGAGGTAGCCATGTCTTAGAATTCTTTAAAAATTGTCGAAATATTTGGTGAACTGGTAGCTGTTGACGGCTCGTAAGATACAGTTAGCAGATCTTTAAAGTGAAAGGAAGGAAGTGAAGTACTTCTTTTAAGACTGAATTGTACCGAAGCTTCTGACTTGGCGTCACTAAATGCTTCTTCTGACTCAGAGTCAGCTAATATGGTAGACAGACGGAGAAAATTAATTTAAATTAATAAACATAAATGCAAATTAAAATTTCACCCTAACAGACGGCAGCCTTGTGCATTTAGACAGCTGATATTGAATAATTTTTGTTTTCTCTAATTACCAAGTGAAAATGGATAGAAGAAAAATATTGTTAAAGACAGCTATGCTGTTTGTAAAAAATCAAAGTTTATTTTGTGAAAAAATTCAGTTACTATTAATAAAATTGATAAATAATAAGGCGAAACTAAATGCTTTAATAAACAGTAACACGATCCTGCGAGCCGCGATTGCAAATGCTCAGTCCGACGCACGACGTTTCTGGAAATTCGTAAGTACAAAATGCACTTTTATTCGAATTTTTAATCATTATCTGTGCCCTTAAAGGACCGCAGTAGCACATTTTAGGAGCACGATGTATGTGCAATGGACGACGCCAGATTCAAGGAAAACTTTCGTCTTGATAGGCGGGCGTTTCAAAAAGTGTGCGAAAAAGTCCGAGGAATGGAGAAAATGGATAGCAATATGAGGCGTTGCATTCCACTCGAAAAGAGGGTGGCTATAGCACTTTTCTCATTGGGCTCTACAGCAGAGTACAGAACAGTTTCTAGTTTATTTGGTGTAGGCCGTAGTACTGTTGGTGAAATTGTTTCGAATTTTTGCCATGCAGTTTGCGATAATCTTGCAGATTGCATTAATACATACCCCCCGAATCAACGAGAAATCAAAAGAATAATTCCTCAATGCTTCGGAGCTATCGATGGTTGTCACATTGAAGTGCAGCCAAGAAAAGAGGATGCCGTAGATTACCACAATTACAAAGGATGGTATTCCGTTGTTTTATTGGCGAGCTGTGATCACAGGTCAATTTTTGGCTACTCAGATCGCATGCATATACATAAGTATGTACTATTTAATTATGTATGTATTTGCATTTACAGGTCAAAACTTACGTATATTAACATTGGGTCCACTAGAAGAAATAATGACTCCTACCCATATATTTGAAAAAAGTTCATTAAGACAATTTCATGAAAGCGCCGATATTTTCGTACAAAATAGCGAGCTTATTGGCGGAATCAATATATTTGTGCTACTTATGGGCGATTCAGCCTTTCGTTTATCGCGCCACATGATGAAACCGTATCCATATGTAGCTAACCAGCCAGCTGCTGAAAAACTATTTAATTATCGACTGTCCAAATGTCGCCGTGTGATCGAAAATTCTTTCGGCCAGCTGAAAGCTCGTTTCCGATAAATAGGGAGATGTTTACAGGTAGCACCCAAAAACGTCAACATTATAATAAGACGAAGTTTCTTCCGTGTGGATGCAAGACGCAGCCTAATCAACCTAATCACACAAAAAGAGTAGGCGAAAATGATCAAACAGCGGCGGCTATTAGGAATGCCATTGCTATGAGTTTCCGTAAGTCAAAAGG